TGCCATCACATCAGCTTTGACTTTCAGCGACTCCATGAATGAGAAACCTCCAAGTCATCCTTGCCATTCTGCTGAGGACTTGCAGACTTAGGGCAACTGTGACTTACTTGACGGAGTCTCTCTGGTACGCAGCTTCTCTTTTCCTATTGCCTTCTACCTTACCAAGCATTATTAGCTTTCCTAGTGACCGCAAGATCAAACCAATCCATACTCCAGGAAATAATACTCAGCTGCTCACTGGAAGGAAGGATATTAGAGGCAAAGATGAAGGACTTTGGCCACATCATGAGAAAACAGGAAAGCTTGGTGAAGATACTGATACTGGGGAGAATGGAAGGAAAAAAGAAGAGGGGCCGACCAAGGGCAAGATGGATGGATGGTATCCTTGAAGTGACTGGCTTGACCTTGAAGGAACTGGGGGTGGTGACGGTTGACAGGGAGCTCTGGCATGGGTTGGTCCATCAGTCATGAAGAGTCAGAAGCGACTGAATGAATAAACAGTGAGCCATGTCTTCTCATCTTGGCTTCTAGGGCAACTTCAGGTTTGATTCACTCTAGAACTCGTTGTTTTCTATATCAATCAACGTTTGTAGAACTCTTACGCATCACATCTCAAATGAGTTGATTTTCTTCCTATCAGCTTTCTTCGCTGTCTAGCATTCACAACTATACACAGAAGTGGGAAATATGATGGCCTGGAACATATTAAATTTAGTGTTCAATATTATACTTCAACTGTATACTTCAAGTTACTGTCTGGTTCCTTTCTTGTATATTTATATTTTTACTCAGACTAGATGTATACTGTATGTTGTGTGTTTTGATAAGGCCAATTGGCTGATCAATAAAAATCCTTTCATTTTGTCTGATTGCTTCAGTTGACTTTCTAAGTCTGATTCTTTTTCTGATCTCTTGTCCGCAATTTCCATTTTGCTTAATGACTGGATTAAAATGTATGAACTCTTGTCACTATCTCAATAACTTCCATCTGTGGTCAATATATTTCCTTTTCACTGTTCCTTTGTAAACCTGCCTTTGTAATTTCATAGAATCATAGAATTGGAAGAGACCTCATGGGCCATCCAGTCCAACCCCCTGCCAAGAAGCAGGAATATTGCATTCAAAGCACCCCTGACAGATGGCCATCCAGCCTCTGTTTAAAAGCTTCCAAAGAAGGAGCCTCTGCCACACTCCAGGGCAGAGTTCCACTGCTGAACGGCTCTCACAGTCAGGAAGTTCTTCCTAATGTTCAGATGGAATCTCCTTTCTTGTAGTTTGAAGCCATTGTTCTGTGTACTTGTCTCCATTACTTTTTCCATTACTTTTTAGTAATCATTCCACATCTTTACTATTTTCTACTAGTGTCATCTGCATATCTTAAATTATTGGGGTTTTTCCTCTAATTTTTATGCCTCTCTCAACCACAAAGCTCCGATTTCAGTTGTGTGTGTGTGTTTCCAGATATGAAAGGCATGAACCAGTGGTTCCAACCATTTTTTAACCAGGGCCTACTTGACCAAGGACACTTTGACTAGGGATCACTCTCCAACATTAGTACCAAAAGAGGCAGGGCTAGTTAGCTCTGCGGAAAGGAGCAGAAATAAAATAAATAAAATAAAGTAATAAATAAAGAGGCAGGAGGTTTGCAGACTGGATTTTTGTTCTCATGGCCCATTGATTGTAAACTATTACAATCAAAGGGGACAGTGAAAAGTAAGATTCTTTTGGGTCACCAGATATGACACGCTCTTTTCATCTTTGATTTTCTTTTTGCATTGTACAATTTCTAATCTATTTATTTATGAAGTCTCACTAAGTGCTGTGGAACAGGATAAACCATGTCTGGTTGGTAGGGCAGGAAAGAAAAAAACTGTGAGGAAAGAGTTTTAATCATGTGAACTGAAAAAGTATATAGACTACTGCCTAGTTAGCTGGCACACAGGGCTTAACACATTAGTAAGTGGACTGACTCTCACATGCTATCTTGAGAATGTGAAGTTCTGTCTAAAATAGGATTCCTCCCACCCCCCCACCCCCCACCCCCAATGAAATTTGGTATGGCATTGAAATGGCTCAATATATATGCAAGATGACAACTCTGAATGATGTGCTTGAGATTAGATAGTTAGGTTCCTTTTAATAAAAGGAGGAAAGATTCACACTCCCACCTCCCTTCATTGAAGTACCAATTCTCCAGTAACAATCTGGCTACTTCACAGGTGGACAAGATCTTTTGAAGTTTTTATGGGACCATTCACAAAATTCAAGGGGTAAATCTATTAGGAGTGTACTCTCCAGCTAAAATGACATGTGGTCTTATGTAGAAACTAGAAAGTATAACAGCTATGCATATAAGAAGCACAGATGCAAATTAGACAAAAGAACTTGAGATAATGTCAAGAGAGAGTAGATGGGGGGAAATATCTCAAGGGAGGGAAAGGGAACCGTATTTTCATGCGGTCAAAATAGCAAGTTTGTGTGCTAGGTAAAAAAAGTATTATTTAATAAAATGTGTTGGGGGGAGGGGGTATCCAGAGATTCACGGGAATTATGGTCAAAACCCTAATATTAGGCCTAAGGTAGATTGGCAAAATTAATTTTATTTCAATGTGTTTACTCATAGAGGTTGACCAGCCCCTCTGAGCAGCACTTCTGTCCAGCCAATGACCAATTTTTCCCCTTTCCTTTATGACAATGTTTCTCAACCTGGGGGTCAGGACCCCTGGGGAGGGGTTGCGAGGGGCCTTCTGAGGGGTCGCCAAAGACCATCAGAAAACATGTATTTGGCGTAAAATCTCTCCGCCTGTCCTTCTCTTCCTTTTTGGAAACAGACAACGAATCCTCCCACCAAAAGTCCTCCTTCTCTCAACCAAGGGGAGGGCTATTTCTGAGACTCCACGCAGAGGAGGGGAGAGCAGGCGTGCTTGGCAGATGGCAGCGTGGTGCACATGTGCGGGCAAGGGAGAGCATGCGAGGCTGGAGGGAGGCTCGCACAAATCCCTTCAAGGCATGGAGGTTCTGTTTGGGAAGTTTGGCCCAATTCTATCGTTGGTGGGGTTCAGAATGCTCTTTGATTGTAGGTGAACTATAAATCCCAGTAACTCCCAAATGTCAAGGCCTATTTTCCCCAAACTCCACCAGTGTTTACATTTTGGCATATTGGGTATTTGTGCCAACTTTGGTCCAGATCTATCATTGTTTGAGTCCACAGTGTTCTCTGGAGGTAGGTGAACTCCAAAACTCAAGGTGAATGCCCACCAAACCCTTCTAGTAACTTCTGTTGGTTGTGGGAGTTCTGTGTGCCAAGTTTGGTTCAATTCCAGCATTGGTGGAGTTCAGAATGCTCTTTGATTGTAGGTGAACTATAAATCCCAGCAACTACAACTCCCAAATGACAAAATCAATCACTCCCCCCCAGTATTCAAATTTGGGCGTATCGGGTATTTGTGCCAAATTTGGTCAAGTGAATGAAAATGCATCCTGCATATCAGATATTTACATTACAATTCATAACAGTAGCAAAATTACAGTTGTGATGCAGCAACGAAAATAATTTGATGGTTGGGGATCACCACAACATAAAGACGGTATTAAGGGGTCGCGGCATTAGGAACGTTGGGAAACACTGCTTTATGAAATCATGCTTGGCCAACAATGATGGGTGGCAGGGACCTGAAACTGGACAATCTGGTAATTGACCAGAAAGGATATATAAAGATTATTGATGCCGGCTTAAGTCAAAACAGATCCTTTCCCTGGGAAGGAAAAGTTAGCTGTGATGGTCCATGTTCTGATGTCCCACGCTGCCTTCCCAGCATATGTTACATCAAAGGCAGTCTTCATCTCATGACATGGCAAAAACTCTAGGAGTGTATGAGGGGAAAGGAGGAAGGAAGGAAGAAATGGGGGAGAAGAGGAAACGGGAAAAGGGAGGGAAAGGAAGAAAGAGAAAGAAAAGGAGAAGGAAGAGGAGAAAAAACAACAACAAAAGGAAGAGAAAGGAAAGGGCAAAGGGTATGAGGGGAGGGGAGGAAAAAAGAAAGAAGAGAAAGGGAGAAGAAAAGAGGGAGGGGGAAGAAAGAAAGGAGGGAAGAAAAAGGGAGGAAGGGTATGAAAGAAAGGAAGCAAAGGAAGGAAAGAAAGAAAGGAAGGAAGAAAAGAGAATGGGATAAGGTGGATAAGTGAAATGGAAGAAGAAATAGTCACAAAGAAGCCTTCCCACAATTGCCAGAGCAGTGCTACATAGTGAAGTAGACCATTTTAGAGCTGGAAAAAACAAAAATCAAGAAGGCGGCAGCCCTTGCAACATGGCAGGTATATAAAATGGTTTATTATATATACAAAGTTTGACATGTCATTTGAACCTCCTGAACAACATTTGAGCTTTTAGACTAGGCCATTTTAACAGTTCACAACTGAAGATTGGGCATATTTATCAAATATTTTAAGTTTGATAATGAAGGTTGTGTGTGCCAAGTTTACTACAGATCTATCAAGCCATATAGGAGCTTTTGTGATACAAACCAACATACATACTTTTATATAGATTTATTTTGGATTTTGTTTTCATGTTTTTTTCATAATTGCACTTAATATACCCGTATTTACTCGAGTCTAATCCGCCATCAAATTTAATGTGCACCTCGATTTTCAAAACCCTGAAACCCAAAAAAGTATTTGCTGGCTAATGTAATGTACAGTGCCAAAAACTACATCATTAGGAAGAATGGCCAAAACAAGGCCAGAACTTCACCCTCCCAGTTCTACCACTTATTTGGAAATGTAATTCTACTACTTTTCAAAGAGCCAGCATGGTGTAATGGTTTGAGCTTTGGACTACAACTCAGGGACAAGGGTCTGAATCCCTATTTGACCACGTGTGGCCTTCTGCAAGTCATATCCTCTCACTCTCTCTGAACAAATCCTTCCAAGAAAACCCTGCTACAGATTTCCCTTAGCGTCACCATAAGCTGGAAGCAACTCGGAGGCATACAACAAAATTCAATGATTTCTACAATTTTATTGCATTTGCACACCCCTTGATACAGTAGGCAAACATAAATTTAAAAGCCTACTACATTTATGCTACTTAACAAAAATCTGCTGCCATTTAATTGTTCCATTTTAAGCTACCTATAGCCTGGAGCTTTAACTGTCAAGACAGCATCATCTGACAAGCTGTTTCAGTGAAGGTGAACCTGGAAACCAATGGCAGTGGTTTCAGGCGACACAGAAAATGACTTAGAATAGAATAGAATCAAAGAGTTGGAAGAGACCTCATGGGCCATCCAGTCCAACCCCCTGCCAAGAAGCAGGAATATTGCATTCAAATCACCCCTGACAGATGGCCATCCAGCCTCTGTTTAAAAGCTTCCAAAGGAGCCTCCACCACACTCCGGGGCAGAGAGTTCCACTGCTGAACGGCTCTCACAGTCAGGAAGTTCTTCCTCATGTTCAGATGGAATCTCCTCTCTTGTAGTTGGAAGCCATTGTTTCGTGTCCTAGTATATTAGCATTTCAAGGATTCCTTTTAGAACCTTAGTCCTAAGGTTTGACACACAATTTTTGTCCGGCTTTGATAGTTTTATTTTATACATATTTCTTTGGCAGCTGTAAACTCCATTTAAGAAAAGTATTCATGGAAAGGTTATGGCCAGGATATGAAGGACAGGTTCACTATGTACATCAACACTCTCGAGGTCCTTCTTTTATTCATGACCACCCCATGTCCCTTGCAAGCTCCTCCATTCAGTAAGAAGACCCTCCAGAAGTGCCTCTGGCAGAGCATGAGAAGCTGCAGTCTAACTTTGGGTCACCAGATCTTCTGAGGCTCAGGTGGTTGGACCTGGGGCCTGGAGGGAGGTACCTGCCGATGACAGAGGATAGCACTTAGCAAAGAGATTGAAGGGACATTTGTAGGGTCAATTGCAAAAATTCTCAAGCCAAGTAGTAAATGGCTTGCCTATGGTTCTGAACCCACAATCCAAAATTGTACTCTTTCCCTGGTAATCCTTGAGTAGTAGCCAAGGTTTACCGTTGGGACTTGCTTCTGCCAGCAGAACTGGGAGGGGAACAATCCTCTGCACTTACCCGCTTATCCTCAGAAGTGCATCTTGAAGGCTGGGGAGACCAACAACGTGAATCTCAGGCATGACAGAGATCAGCAAGAGAAAGAAACCCTGGTATGCTAATATATATTTACTAGTGAAACAATGAGTGTAAGAGGCTAAAACTCTTAACATATCAAAATCAGAAACGTGGCAAACCTTGTCAGGACTGTACTGGATGGCCAGCTTTATTTTCAATGAGAATAGAAAATAGGGACGGCCTAATGACGCATGAAAATGTTTGGGTATTTGTAGCATAATTTGGCCTCGGGTGTATTTCTTTCAATTGTGAATATGCCCTATCCCATAGGTCAAGGTTGGTTAATAAAATAATTTAAAAATGTACACAAAGAAACACTGAATGCATAAAAATATTTTTATGACCCAAAATACTGTAGTCTCCCCAACATTCATGTTTATCGAACATATACAAAGGAGAACTTTTGACAGTTACGGGGGAGGCATATACACAAGTAAGAACTGCAGACCATTTTACACACTGAACAACTTTTCCTAGACTTAAACTCTTAAGCCCTTGACTTTACAAAAAATAACCTGTTAGTCTTCGCTCTGGTTTTAAAGAAAAAAATATATAGCTACAGAAAATTTATCTTAAATATAATTATTTTCTTTATTTTAAAAAAATCACTCTGGTTCTCTACACTATTTACAAAAAACATCCCAGGACTCATTCAAATATCCAAATGAGTTTTCAAAGGTAGACGGTTTGTGCCCTAAAGGTTGTGAAGAAAAATGGAAGTGTCACAGAATGGAACAGCACAAGAAGATGCAGAATTATTCAGTAACTGCCTAAACATACCTATCTACTCAAACAAAGAAGTTCATAAGATGTTATGAATCAACACAACTATGTATACCTGCATTTTATATACCATTTAAAAAAAAACATGAATTGGCACATTAGGTAGAAAGGACACTCTTCCCCATAAAAATAGGCTAGCTTGAAATTTATCAGTGATAAACCATCATTTCAAACACAACTTTGCTTCTGAAAAAGAAATCTTTGCATTAAAGCCTTCATAAATAAAGTAACTTTACTATAAAACCCATCAGTTTAAGAACATTTGTTTTAAAAATCATTTTGCATTAGGCAGAATATCAAATGACAGGCACTAATAATTAACCGGCTACTACAGTTCACTCAAAAACAATGTCCGGATAGTCAGTGGTGCAGAAAGCAGTATAAACATTCAATCTTGTTGAAAAACATTTTCCAGTCTTAACAATCCAAATGGATCTCATGTAGATGGTGATGGAAACTAATTTATATCTTATTTAGATATATACATTTTAACTAATCGCCTGGGACATACAGTGATTTAAATAAACCCCTTTAATTTAAACAAATCAATGGACATTAAAAATAAACATCAGTGATGTATTTACCTAAACCAACAGGATATTATTTTTTCAATCAAGATTTGGAAATCTATTTTAACCTAAAGTATCTTATTTCAGATGTTTTGCCTTGTCTAGTTTTAGTTTGTAGGAAGTCTGTCCAATACTTTTACAGAGACCGGGAAATAATAACTAGTGCTTTCCTTTCAAAAAATTCATTCTGTGTTTAATTTCAATAACAGACTAAGGTGAGAAAGATTGCTTGCATGCAGCATTCTAGATTAACAGGTATAAGAAACAGTAGATCAGCCTTCTTCCAGGAGGAGAGAACAATCACAAAAAGGACATCTCTCTTTCCGGCACTGGCCTCTTTCCAGAAAAATGATCTCTGATAGTCTTATCCATAATAGCAGAGATAACAGGTGAAATAGGGAATGGGGGATTGATTTTGCAAGTTTGTACTTCCATCTAGAACAGTGGTTCTCAACCTGTGTTTTGGCCTACAACTCCGAGAAATTCCATCCAGTTTACCAGCTGTTAGGATTTCTGGGAGTTGAAGGTCAAAACATCTGGGGACCCACAGGCTGAGAACCACTGATCTAGAATTTAAGAGTGCAAATGTACACAAATTCAGTATAAGGAATTAATCCGGCTTTGTTCAGTGGGATTTACTCCCCCCAAAACTGTGCACAGGACCGTGGACTAAAATCTTGTTGGTTTTCAGTGTATCGTACTATATTTGGTAGTTAAACCTTTCAAGTTACTTTGACTACATATTCCCTTTCACATGACAATGGAGATGAAGTGAATTACGAGGATCCAAAGATCCCACATGATCCAAAGGCATGTTTGCTAATGCAGCGAGGGCGCTCCCATTTCCCAATCTGCTGTCCCTTTGAAACTGGCTTCAGATGACCAGGGATTCTCCAGAGCAGCTAGGTGTGTGTGCAGGACTGTTGACGGTGAGAAAGTGCTGATCCTCACATGTGAGCAGCATTGACTTCTGCTCATACACCAGGATGTCTGGATCCAAGTCACTGTTGGATGAGTTCTTTGACAGCTGGATAAGAAAAGTGAATCCTATCAACAAGGCAGACATATCCATCTTTGCAATGTAGTGTACTATATTTACCAGAACAATAATGAGAATTTAAATTCATCTATATATACCTACCTACTATGAGAAGGATGCCTAGAACCTTATTAAACAGGGCTCTTATTGCTTTCGATGAATAGATACGTTTGTTTTGTAACTTATATATGGCAATAGAACAGTGCACTCACATGAACAGGAATCTTAAGTTTCTCAGCTTATTGTTGAATCATGGATTTACCCTACAGGCTGTTTCAAAAAGATGGACTCAGTTTGAAATGGCTTTATCTCTTTAACCACAAACAGTCCACAAATCTCTTATCACTTGAAAGGATGGGGCTTAGAGTTTCGAAGGATTACCCCTACATGCCTCTCATTTGCAAAATAGTGATCCTCAACCATAAGGTCTAATGCAGTGCTTCTCAACATGTGGGTTCGCAGGTGTTTTGGCCTACAACTCCCAGAAATTCCATCCAGTTTACCAGCTGTTTGGATTTCTGGAAGTTGGAAGGCCAAAACATCTGGGGACTCACAGGTTGAGAACGATCTAATGTGATATTCCCCATTTGCAGAGTTATTTTGTCAATTAGTTTCTGGTTCAAAATAGTTAGGAAAGCTTGACAACCCGTTAAATTGTTTGTAGTTTTTTTTTGTATAATTGTAATATATTGCCACCATGAATTATACTGCTTTGAAATTTAATCCCTCATTCTGAAACACCCTGTATTTCTAGCTCTAAGGCAGGGGTCCACAAACTTTTTAAACAGAGAGCCAGGTCACAGTTCCTCAAACTGTTGGAGTGCCGGATTATAATTTGAAAAAAAAACACATGAATTCCTATGCACACTGCACATATCTTATTTGTAGTGCAAAAATCACTTAAAACAATACAATTAAAATGAAGAATTTAACAAATATAAACTTATTAGTATCTCAATGGGAAGTGTGGGCCTGTTTTTGGCTCATGAGATAGGATTGTTGTCGTTGTTGTTGTGTGCTTTCAAGTCGTTTCAGACTTAGGCTGACCCTGAGCGAGGGCCGGGTAAATTACCTTGGAGGGCCGCATCCGGCCCCCAGGCCTTAGTTTGAGGACCCCTGCCCTAAGGCATAAAAACTGAACTCGACACATGCATACCCCACTGACTACTCTTAGTAGAGCAAATCAGAATCCAAGTTCATGTAGTGTGGGAAACCCTCATGTTTCAGTGCAAAGAAAACTCTTCCCTCCCCTTTCTTTACTTTGGAAGAAGGCCTTGCAGTGGCTCTTGCTTTTTTTCAGAAATGCCCATGATGGTGGCAGGATTCAAAAATGTCCTCTTGGGCTTCCTTGTCACCTTTAGCTTTTTAGTATCCAATTTCTCTTTCTTAAGGTGCTTTCCTATACTAGTTTTCTTTGTTTGATGCCTGGGAGTGGATGAGGCAGAGGATTTTGGGGTACAAGGAGAAATCTTTCTGATCCTCCCCCTCTTTCGCTGAGCTGGAGTCGTGGGCGACTCTTTCCTATTGCCTCTCCTAACAAGACTATGCTTGACAAAAGCTAGCCCTGAAGCTTTTTTGGAACCCCCTGATTCTCGATTGCCTTTTTTCCTCCGCCTCTTTGTCTTTGGATTATCCCTTTCCAAACAGTCAGCCACATGTGACTTCAAATGAGTTAATCGAAAGTCACCTTCGCGCTGCGATTGGTGAGAGTTCAATGGTGAGAAGACTAAATTTTTATAGGATTTCTCTGAATTGTTACATACCAGACATTCAGAGCTCTCTGTGGAAATTGAAGATCCATCTGTCTTATGACTTGAATTCACATCGTTCTCTTTAACTGGGTGCAGCAGGAAAGATGCCGATGAACCATGGAAATCTGTTGAACTGAAGGCCTTTGGCAATATGCCATCACACTCTGAATCAGCTTGTTTCTTCTGGTTTGCGTCAACATTGAGACTCCTAAAGAGTTGCCGAATGTGTGGAGGGTTCCTTGACTTTTCCCCAGCCAGGCTTTGGGGAGGAGTTTTTAAGACTCGATTGGTCACTGGATCATAATATCTGATAGAACCCTGTTTGTATTTGTATCTTACAGAGTCCTTATTTTCTGTGGAGTGCTGGTTTTTTTTCATTTTGGGAATGTCTTCAATTTTGCTTCTACACTGCTTAATCTCTGGACAAGAAAGCACATAAACCACTGTCTGGGGTTGTATGGGACTCATAATTTTGGTATATGATTCAGGCAGCTTGAGGGCACACAGCCTTGTTTTCATGGTAGGTGTTTTCTCATTCTCTGACCATAATGGGCTCTCTTTCTGATCTGGTGGGTCACAGTCCTTTCTAACTATTTTTTGTTTTACTACTGGATAGTGATGTAAGCTGGTTTGTGTGCCATGGCTAACCTTGACTACTTGGCATCTTGAGGCAAGACGCCAAGTCCTTTTTTTAGGTCTCTTTGAAATTTCTGGAACAGGTGGGGCTTCAGAGATTACAAATGAGTTGCTGAAGTCAGAGGCGACACTTAATGCATCAGGAAATTCTGGAAGTTCTTTCACTGACACATCCTCTATTTTGTTAGCTGTATTTGCAAAGATTCCTCCTTCTTCCTCCTGCCTTTTCTTTCTTGCCCTCCTCCTTGCACGATTAGCTAAGGACTCTGTATCAAAGTGACAGCGAAAGCGACCTTCCCTGAAATCCCGCACAAGGGCTTCAATTTTCATATCATCTTCGTACATGATCTGGGACCACGTCTTTCCTACAAAGGAAGGGGGCACGTGGGGCAGAGCGGGAAGAACAGGCTCATTGTTCTGAACTGACACACCATTGCCTGTCTCTACTTCCTGTTGCACTGAGCCATTCTTAAGGATGGTATTGAGCTGAGTGCCATAGTTCTCATCTTGGAGGTTTACTTGGACCTCTTTGAGAAATTCCAAACTTTTAACGGTTGCTTTGGGCAAAACTGGTCCTGACGGGACAGCTGCATCACAATCAAAACTTATGTCTGAGTCATGTGCACTGTTGTGATCAAGAAGTGACAGAATATTTACACAGGAATTAGTATCTTCATCTCTGGAAGGCAACTCATTGGGGGCAGTTTTATCATATTTCAGAAGGGCTTCTTCAGTTGTTTCGAGTACAGTTTCAGAACTTCCATCCAACTTAATTTCTTTATTCCCTGACACTTGGGAATCTACTTGAAAAGCCTGGGAACTGCTGGTACCCAAAGGGTTGCTGGTGTTCCTGAGACTGAAGTCGGAAATCTGAGTTTCATCCTGAGGTTGTAAGCTATCTTGTTTCAAAAAATGTTGACCTGAGATTAAAGAGTTGCCTTGATTACAGACAGGACTCTCTTGTGAAAGCGGAACAGTTTTTGACTGTGTTGATAGTAAAACAGCACTCAGACTTGGATGTAGCACTCCATTTTCACTGCATATTTCATGTTTACTTTGCTCACACATTTTACTGGAAACTGATTCTGGGACTACTGGATCTTGAATAGTTTTTGAAAGTCTTTGTGGAGCAGATGGAGAGTGGCTAATGATTACGGGATCAGGTAAGAGGTCCACAGCTGTACATGAGGCTTTCGGATTATTACTTTCAGACAGATCATCTTCCACTGGAACAGTGTCTTTTTTCTTACAAAAGATTGCTGAAGTTTTTTGTGGACTGTGTTCCTGTCCTTCTAGCTTATGGAGAGGTGCAACTATTGTGGAAACCTTCTTCACTTCCTCTTGTGATCTCTGGGAAATAAGGAGGCCTGATTCAGCAGGGATTGCATTGTCGATGCTTGGCTCTTCCTCCCCGCTTGCAGTTCTCTCTTTTTTCATCTCCAATGAAAGAAGAGGTTCATTTTCAGGAAGTTGGGAGCTGGTGGTTGGCATGTCATCATAAGTCGGTCTGAGAAGGGGAAGGAAGCCACATAAATATTTTTAAATGCACTTAGTACTAAATTGGGATTGCAGTTTAAAGATTATGAACTAAAAGAGTTAATAAAATAGAAAAGACCAATAGCTATATGAAGAGCACTACAGCTATAAGCCAAAGTGGACTATCAACAAATATGCTCTCTCACAAAATATTCTAGGGATTACTATATGCATGAATTGTGAATCCCGTCAGCAACAGCATTTTGTTTAAACTGCATGAAGGTAACTGTATAAGGCTTTGAAATTCTGCTGCATAGGAAAGACTGCAGCACTATTCCCAGAACTATGCTCCATGCCAAGAGCCTCCACCACAATGATTAACGCTGTTCTGAACTCCTCGAACACCAGGGAAGGATCTTTGGTGACAGCACAAATAAAAGAACACAAGCTTTCATTCTGACTGCCATAGTTACAGCAGCCGGTGCTGCTGCAGGAAAGCTTCATGTAATAAAATAGCTAATTGTGACTGTCAAGAGCATGCTCAGGAGAAATAAAGCATGCCTGCTATGTCTTTACATTACAAAATTAAGCTTCTGGGACCCTTGACATTTCTATCTTTCAGATTCAAGCCCTTGATAAGCCATATTGTCGAATGGAATGTCAGCTTTTAAAGAAGGCTCTGCAGTGTTATTACCTGTGCTTTGCATCCTGAAATCGAAAACTGATGCACTCTCTTTTCATAAAGGAAAACCACAGCAGCATGAAACAGCAGCCTTCAAAAACACTGCCCCTACCATCAGTATAGCACATAACATAAAACTCTCTACACCCGCTTTGATAAATAATACATCAGGTACTAGAGCAAAATACTATTTTAGTCTGCAGTCATTAGAATGACCTACTCCGCAGCTCATGGCTGTTGCATGTGAGTGATGCGATTATAGCTAAGCCAGAATAGTCAGGTGTTTATTTCACTCCAGGAGTCGATTATCTGAAAGACCAATGGTGACTTCATGGCTAATGTCCAGATAGTATTTTGTTCCTGATAGACTTAGAAAGTCAAAACAAGAAAAAGAGGTTGGGGAGGGGGGAGCTTACTTTGCTTGAGTTCAACACTAAGTCAGGCTCTAGACGAGGGCTTCTGAAACTGTGGGTCCCAACCCCAAATAAGTCCCCATTAGCCCAATGTTAAGAGGGGAGCTGAGAAGACAGTTCCATCTTGTCTCCTGTGGCATCAGAGCCGCACCCCCAGCAACAATATAATATTATATAATACTAATATTATGAATGATGTATTAATACTATACTAATAATATAGTATGTTGTATGTACATATGATTTGTAAGCCGCTCTGAATCCCCTTCGGGGTGAGAAGGGCGGCATATAAATATTGTAAATAAATGTTGAGGTCCCAAAAAAATGGTAACAGTAAAAGGTTTCTGAATGCCACCCATTTACAAAAATCTGATAGGGACAATGTGAAGTGGACAACTGTACTTCACAAAAAGGGAAATAATCCTATCCAGTAGGCCTGGCAAAATGCTGATTTATTAGTAGTAAATGTTTGATTCTCATTCCTATATACTTGGGTCATATAAAAAAATCTTGGTCAGAAAGGGGTCCTGATTGGAAAAGTTTAAGTCCTACTCTAGACGCATTTGCACTTATATCCTAACAAGGTGAATATAAGATTAACTGTGGGAGAACTATGACTTGACACAGCAGACAATGCAGGATTTTTGTCCCAGGAGCCTCATTCAGACTTCAGAGAGAGCGAAAAGAGGGTATAATAGCACCTTCTCTGCAGCTCAGCTGCCAGGCATTCAACAAAACTCTGAGGGCCCTTCCAGACAGGCCATGTATTCCAGGATCTGATCCCAGGTTTTCTGATTATCCCGGATTATCTGGCAGTCCAGACTCACATAATCCAGTTTAAAGCAGAAAACTGGGGATCAGATCCTGGGATCTAGGGCATGTCTGGAAGGGCCCTGAGAGAGCACTTCCTGTACCCAGTTCTTAAACCTGCCTTCTAACACTCACTTCTTTGCCCTTCATGACAATCATCTCCTGAGAAAAGGTTTTTGTCTTTTCACCCTGGCTCTGGGACAATCTCCCTGGCCCTTCTACACAGCATCCATTTTGTTTGTTTTTTCACATCTGAGCCAGGCAATAAAAAGGGACAAATATTGAGACCCCAATAGAAATTTGTAATTACTTGATAGTTGATTTGTCTGGGTTTTGTGTGTGTGAATGCGTGTGTGTCAGAAGCAACTTGAAAAAACAGCAAGTTGCTTCTGGTGTGAGAGAATCAGCCGTCTGCAGAGAGGCTGCCCAGGGGACACCCAGATGTATTACTACCCCCTGGGGGGCTTGTCTCTGTATGGGAAAACTGGAGCTTGCAGACATGAGCCTACCCTGTCTCACACATTTGAACCATTGACCTCAGGTCAGTAGTTCAGCCGGCACAAGGGTTTAACCCATTGCACCATCACAGCTCCATTTTTGACCGCATGAATCAGGTGGTCTATAGGCTTGTTTGAAACCAGAGATGAGAATCATGAGGACCTCCAGATATTGCTGAAACACAGCTCTAAATATTTATTTATTGTTGGGTATGCTGGCTTGGACTGATAGAAAGCACAGTCTAATATCATCTGTAAGGCTGCATGATTCTTATCTTTTCTAGATAACACTGCAATGCAAACATTATAATTTGTTTTTTTTACAATGAAATATATACACAGATATGCAATTCAGCTATTACACGGCATCAAATAAATGCCATATTCTTTCCAAATAGGAATTCCCAGTCCCTTTTGCACTTTCTTTTACATATCAAGTAAACTGTAAACTGATTGCCACTGTCACCCTGACAGAGCCAAGATGTGAAAGAATAAGGTCTATTTCTTATTAAGACAGTCACAAAGAATGCAACTGTGTAGTCAATCACATCACATGGCAAATGATGAGTTCAAATGCCTTCAGCAGATTTGTCAGACTTAATACAATAATACGCTGACAAAGGAAAACAAAATCCTCGAGTGCACTGATTTCAATCAAGGGCATTTGAATCACTGATTCGGAGTATGTGAAATTACCAATACAATCTGAATTTAACTCATTAACAACATCAGGTTTTGCACTGGCTATTCTTCACAGATGTCTTAAACAGTGCTACAGACCTGATTATTAAAAATGTCCATTCACTAAATATGGCATTGTGCTAAATTTAAATATTCTGTTGTGTAGGAAATTTCTCATTATGTTTTGTTTCTGAAAGTTAGAAAACTCCAGCTTCTTTAATACACCATTCTAGGATTCCCTTCATAATCCCCATTAAGCAATCTTCTAATAAAATCTGTTCTACCATAGGAATTCAACCATGTCAGTGAAATTTAAATTGTAAATTTATGAAAAAGTGACATAAATGTGACTGTCGAAGGCTTTCGTGGCCGGAATCACTGAGTTGCTGTGAGTTTTCTGGGCTGTATGGCCATGTTCCAGAACATGGCCACACAGCCCGAAAATCTCACATCAACCAAGTGACAAAAATGTCTTCTATGGTGTCATTTTGGGCTGAATGCTTCTGTTGTTATGCATACTTTGCTGTCTGAACTACATGGAACTGCAGGATGCTGCTGAAAGTAATAACTTTGAAAATGTTGCAAACAGACTGCCAAAACATCTAATATTTAAATGAAATCTTGAAACACATGTTATTTCAAGTCATCATGCTTCTTATTCTGTAATTCATTTACTCATTCACATTTTTTTCAATATCAAATTACTTTAACAAGAAAGAAGAAGAAATCAAGACAGATTTGATTTTTTTCTTCCATGATATAAGTATAAGACAAGTATGTGTGGTTCATTTTTATCACCATCAAGATACAAAATAAGTCTTCTAAACCCTAGACTTTCTGAAAAAAAGTATGGAAAAAGCCTATATAGGTAACTACTGTAGTTGAAATTACCTCTTTCTTTGGCAGGAGAATCAGCCTAACTGTATTTGTTATCCCAACAAGAGGGACATATCTAGATTCAACTCTACATAAATAGCAGAACAAGGATCCTTCCTAACTCCTTCTAAAGACGCCTTCACATCTATCCTTCCACACAAAAGCAGAACCTTATCCATTAACTTAGCGACTGATTCATGTAAATCAACTTTGCAATTATAGTGTGGATCCCCAAAAGATCATCATTATTCAAGTGGAAATAAGAGTAAAATCTGTTCATGTTTTAATGTGAACCAACTTCACCGCATGGGTATTCATGTACCTTCAAGTCACCTGTCAATTTATAGTGACCTTGTGAATGTCACAAGGAATACTTAGAAATACATCTGCCAGTTCCTTACTCCAAAATATAGCACACAACATCAGATATTCAACTGGCAGTCTTCCAGCCAAGTTCTAACAAGGCAGACCCTGTTTAGCTTCCAAGATCAGACAGGATCTGGTGCCTTTAGGGGTTTTAGGCCCTCAATCTAATTGCCACTTCCCAAATCTACATATAAACAGAATTATGTAATGAGGAAATATGGTGTGACCACATTTTGCAAAAGACCTGCATTCAAATGTTTGCTCGGCTCTGGATCTGTGGTTCTTTGGCATGTCACACTGTCACAGCCTCAGATGAAAGTAAAGGCAAATCCCTTCTAAATAAATCCCACAAAGAAGCCCCTGTGATAGATTCACTTTAGGGTAGCCATACGTCATAAATAACAAGACATACCAAATTTTATGCAGGATTTAAGCGAGGTTTGCACATTGATGCAGAAACAAAATGGAACCAACTTGTAACTGAAATATGCAAATGTTACAGAAAATGAAACATATAGATTCATTCTGTTGTTAAGCAGGTCTCTCTTTAATTTCAGCAGTATATCTACCCGGCACCCATAGTACGCATAATGTCTGCCACAGTTCTTATAGTACATTTGCAATAAAGAGTTTGAAGATAATATCATATCACATAAAATAGTAGCCATAATGTCAGCAACTTTAGCAAACCATAACATTCACATCCACATATGTATTTCACAGGATTTTCTTATTCAAAGATATCTCTGAAATGGTTTTGCCAGTTTCTTCATCTAAAATACAGCCTACAGCACCTGGAGGCAATATTTCAGAGGAAGGAACTGGCAAAAGCAGTTTTGAATATTTCTTGTCTAAGGAAACCCTGTGAAATTCATGGCTGACCATAAGTCAACAGATAACGTGTAAGCACATATAAAAGTGCACATAACTGCACATCAAATTATCTTATTAGTTCTATTATATCAACTATTATATCAATATCCCAGAAATAGTTTTTTTAACACTTTCTCTCAAAAGTGTCTTGTAGGTAATAATATTCCTTTTCAGTAATGCCAAAAGTGCCATATATTCTATATGTCTACACAGTGATATAAAACACCATATCATTATTACGAAACTGCCAGATAATCCAACAAACAGAATTCCCTACCTGTTGTCATCATAACTGTGGGGATGATGCTGTAAAACATCTTGCAGGAAACGCTCCATCAAGCTAGTTGTACCCATACGATTCCTACAGTAAGTGGCAAAATGTCTGTGCTGGGCACTGGAGATATGCTGAATAGAGGAGGAAGATACATTTTATATTACTCAATTATCCAATCTTAATCAAATTTTTCATTGGAATACATATACTCTAGGGGAAATTGCCAATACATTCTCTGTTATGAAGACTGAAGACTTTTTACTCACACACACACAATTTTCCAATTTTTTTCCCCACACACACACAAAGAGGAAAGATGGAAAAGTTGGGTAAAAGGAGAAGAAAAAGGGAAGATGGGGATTAGTGGAGCTATTGTTAGTAAATTAAATATTTACAAATATCTACTATGTCACAGAGGAGGAGTGAGGGATTGAGGGGGCAGGAGAAGAGGCAATGTGCAAAGTTATAATTGTTACATCTATTTCTTCATCTCTATTACACTAACACACATTACCAAAAAGTATTAAGAATTACACCTATCTTCTATAACAAAGAGAGGAGTGATACTGTCAACTAGTTTTAAGCACGATAGTCGTATCTAAGACTGAAGACTTTTAAAAGATGTGCTAATGATATTCTTCTTTCTCTTTGCCAAGCACTACCATATCAACAGGCAGCTCTTTCAGCTGGGGTGAAAGGGCACAGACAATTTCACCACACTTCAGAAGCTTCACCACTGCCTCGCCTTCAAAGCTACACCAAATTGCCATTGCAACTGACAGAGCATCCTTCTTCACAATTCTGTGTGGTGGCTCACAGGAGGGAGGAGGGAGGGCTGTGCCACTTGCTGCAGGGGACATGATTTTGAGAGTGTGTCTTGCGAGGGAGGCATACATTAATTGGGGGAAAGTGGAGCGGGAAACATCAAAAATTGAATTTCAGAGACCTCATGTGGTACCCACCCCTACACTAGAACAAAAGAAGAGTGTAGGAAGAAATAGCTATATTGGGATAATCAGAATGGGGGCTAAGATCAGAAAGGAAAAGTATAGTACTGCAGAAAGTGTGGAGAAGGAATAGTTTTGCAGTGGTAGTAGGATACAGAACAAAAATAATTAAAGAATAATGGAAATTTATATCCACAAGGGATTGTAGTGACAAGACATAGGGAGTTCTGCATCTCTGTCCTTTTGGTCACTGGAATTATTTTTCCTGAGGTCTAGGGAAATTTCCCACACCTCAAATACTTTGACCTCTGTCCAATTGGTTTATTTACTATATTTATATACTGCCTTTCTCAGCCCAGGGGAGGCCTCAAGGCAGTTTACAACATATTAATGGCAAAAATTCAATGCTGACATACAGGGTGAGGCAGCATAACTTCCTTTTTTAAAATGTGTGCCATTCAGTTGGTTGAAGACGTAGCGGAGCGCTAGTGGTCTCGTTCAAGAAGCGGGAGTATAAAGTTTTGTCCTGGCACAGTTTAGTCGCCATCATGCGTTGGAACAGTGAGGAGTGTGCTTTTGCCGTTGAGGCCTACTTTTTGAGCAGATTTGGAGTGGCCAGCCCGCTCTCCAGATTTGGCTCCTTGTGATTTTTTTCTATGGGGTTTTTTGAAATCCCGTGTTTCTGTGAACCGTCCAAGGACCCTACAAGATTTGAAGACCAACATCCAGGAAGAAATTGCCAACATAACGCCTGCTATGCTGGCAAGAGTCATGACAAACACCAGAAATTGGTTTACTCAGTGTATGGAGAATGGAGAATGGGGGACGTCACCTACCTAATTTGATCTTCAAAACTACGTAAAACAAAACTTTAGGTATGCGCCTACATTATATTAAAAATTCTGACTCATACAATGGGTTTTATTAAGTTTTGAAAAAAGGAAGTTATGCTGCCTCATCCTGTACATGTAGAAAGAAAAAATCATAATACCTAAACACTAACATAGAATTATAAATTAAAAACATTAAAACTATTAAACATAAGTCATAAACAACATTTTAACATTAAGACAAGCATTAAAAACATCCTAATATAAATATTAAAATCACATGATCACATGATTCACAGAAATAGATGAAAAAACATGTAATGCTTTCAGTTCTCATTGCCATTTGCTATACTTTCACCAACAACACAAAGGTTCAGAGTATTCTTGCTCAGAGTTGCTATGAGTTAAACATTAATTCTCTTTCAACAGCCATAAAGGGGAGGAGAGAGGGTGGCCTATCTTGCAAGCACATGGAGCTTCTCTGAACAGCTTAAGCACAGACTGGAAATAGTGATACTGGTAATAAAAAGAGATAAATATGAGGAAGCTAAGAATGAATAATCAAACATACTTGACCACAGGATCATTGCCTTTAAATGGCCATATTTTGATTCTTAGAACATAATTTCTCATGTTACAAAATGCAGACAGCAAGCCATAGTTTGGCCAACTTTGCTACAGATGTATCACCCCAAACAATTTTTAGTACAAAACTCTTTCAAGCTGGAAAGGAAAGAGAAATTGCACAAACTAAGCAAATCTTCCCACGTTTTAAACTTTCAAATGCCCAGACTTGACCCAAATCCTTAACACGTAATGCAAAATCAAGGTTCCTTTAATGGAGAGAGTTGGAATTGATTTCTTGCTTCCATACCTGTTCAAGGTTACTGTAGTGCACATGGCAGCAGTTGCAATAGCCTTGCATGTTCTGTCTAACTGGTAACCCAGGCTGAGCCGGCTCTGGTCGTTCTATGTTTAAACTGAAAGAAAGGGTAATATATTTCATTGTTTTCAGAGAGAGTAAGGAATCAATGAAGACCTTGAATATTAAAGGGCTGCCTCTAAACAATATTCATTTTTAACACTCATGCAAAGTCCACTTGGACCCACTGGATGTAAACAAGAGACTCAAACAGCAAACAAAACACACTGAAAAACAGGTATGTTGTATGTGTGATGCACTTACTGCAAAGATGCCATTTTTCTTACTTGTTTTATTAATGTTTGCCTGCCAAGGTGTGGATTGATTTATGTTGTTTTTTCCCTTGTGTAACAAAATCTAGCTCATGAGCAAGGAGTATTCAAATCCTATCAGTTGCTTATAAATAGGTTTTAAGATGATTTAGTTCAGCACTGGATTTTCTATCCTTTTTGGCATTATCACTTGAGATATGGCTGTAGAAATATTCCCTATATTCTATAAGGAATCCGCCCTTCTTTGTCTTTTTGAGTTGGTACTATTTGTCTCCTTGTTGTCTTTTTTCTCCAATGGGTAGGATAGGTGGGCAGAAGAGTTCTTGTTTTCCCTTCTGTAAGAGATTCTCATCCTTTTCTGAGATGTTTCAGAAAATGTTATTTGTTCTAAGATGTTACATTTCATAGATCGTTTAGTATTTTATTAGATTGAACCATGAGCCAGTTGAGGCAGGAGCTGCGAATCAATGGCTCCGAAGCAAGCATTTAGTTCTCCAACTTTTGAGAGTTTATAAGACTTGAAAATATTTTACAGCTATGCTGCACTATTCATAAAGTGAACATGTCAGGCATTGCAGGGAACCTTTGAAAATTAAATTCTGACAATCAGTTATCTCTGCTAGTTAACATATTAGGCCATTAAGATTCTTCTAAGAAGATTGTTAAAGTAGATTAAGCTAATCCTTCACTATTTATTTATTTATGCCCCGCCTTTCTCTACCCCAAAGGGGACTCAAGGCGGTTTACATATAGGCAATTATTCAATGCCTTAAAACACATACAATTCCAGTAACATTATAATTAAAATAAAATTAAAATTTAATACATATTAAGCATTTAAAATTAAAATAAAATTAAAATTTAATACATATTAAGCATTTAAAACATTTAGAAACATTACATTGAATATAAATCATGCCATCCATAATTGTAGTCCAAAGATGTTCCACAGTCATTGCACATATTCCAAATCTGTTATTGGCATTACACAATTCTCCAAAAGCCGGATCACAAAGCCAGGTTTTTATTTTCCTTCTGAAGGCTAGGAGGGAGGGGGCTGATCTAATGTAGTTTATTTCCTAGGATAGGATTGGTCAAAGTTGATTTGAAACGCAAATCAGGGAAATTTCATAGCCAGCAGGTAAGTAGTTTACACTTCCAAAGCACTACAGAGAAGTTGATCCATAGGAAGGATACAATATTCATCGCCCCACTTTGTTTGACTGCTGGGACTGTCATGGTTCGTATGAAGAAATAAACACAATTCTATTAACAGAAGTATCGACTGTTCTTATTTTGATTATTACATTTTATAATGTGTCTGGAACTATTTATTTATTTGCCACACTTTTATCCCGCCCCTTTCAGCCCAAAGGTGACTCAGGGTGGCGTACAGACTGGCAACACGCATAAATACATCATTTAAAACAGATTAAATAACATAATAAAATTCATATAAAAACAATTTAAAACTATAAAAATCAATGACTTCCAGGTTTAAATCCATGTCCATTTGCATCGTTAAGCCATTCCATATTCGTTCACAATACTGATTTTATCTGTTTACAATGAGGTTCCAAAAGCTTACTCAAAGAGCCAGGTTTTCACTCTTTTCCTAAAGGTCAAGGGCGGGGGGGGGGGGGGGGGGGGGGGGATCTAATATCCCCAGGAAGGGAGTTCCACAGCCAAGGGAATTAATTTAATCACACACACCTATACTGCAAGATAAATTAAAGAATATGAATAATGGTGATAGTAAGTGGAATCTACAACAGTGGCCCTGTGGCGCCTACAATTTCTACCTGCCCTGGGAAGTAGAGTCAACAATGAGGAATTATGAAAACTGAGGTCCGACAACATCTGGAGGACCAACAGCTGGGGTTATAGATATTATATATAGACCTCCCACAAACTTGGAGAATATTTATGAAAACAGCTTGTTAGATTTTTTAACAAGACAAAAAACATTCTGGACAAGAATTAAACAAACCGCAAACTTACCCACTATTGCTCTCTTGCCGTGAAGAGTCTCCATTACCTCTTCTTATTACACTTACTGTATAAGGGGGGAAAATGGACAAAACAAAACAAAAAACCATCAATATATGTATATCCCTGCTCTGAAAGACTTTCAGTTACCTACCGCCAGTGATGAATTTTTTCCCCAAGTAAACCCTGACAGACTGGCTATACATTTTCTCATACCTTGTGCTGAAGCAGCAGCGGCTTCATCAGCTTTTTTATTTCGATCAAACATCTATAAAGCAAAAATAAAGTAAGTGCAAGCAAATCTGAAACAGAAAGAATCTTCCAAGAAAATAACACTGTTTTTTTTTTTTAAAAAAAAAACAGCCTTCTACTGCTACAGAATGTACCAAAAACCTCTACATCTTATTTAAATTGCATTCTAGGATAGTAAAAAGGCTTGCTCTTTCCAAAGGCCTAGCCTACTTTCTGCCATGAGTTATCATTTTTTGGAAGGATACGCCTTTTTGCTGAATTTGCTGACTGAAGGTTTTGACATTCAACTCCGGGGAGTGAGGTGAGCTCTTGCTGTTAGCCCTAGGTTCTGCCAGCGTAGCAGTTTGAAAACACGCAAATGTGAGTAGATCAATAGGTATCGCTTAGGTGGGAAGGCAACAGCGCTCGATGCAGTCATGACGGCCACATGACCTAGGAGGCATCTATGGACAATGCCAGCTCTTCAGCTTAGAAATGGAAATAAGCACCACCCCTCAGTGTCAGACACAACTAGACAATTCAGAAGATGATGAAAACAAGCTAGTGATGGATCATGCATATATCTAAACAATCTTCAAGGGATCAATTTAGCTTTATCTAAACTACAAACTTAGAAGGAGAATGTATTTAAAAAGCCAAAGTTTGCCATGGTACATCATATACAGACAACATAGAGCATAGTTCTAAACATATATGGCTCTTTGTAGGAGGACAAGATCAGGAGGACTCAAGAACCTTGGAATCCGTATTATCAATTGATCATATAAGTCTATGAGAAAAAGTAGTTACAAACTTGGATCCTAATCCTGGGATATTTAGGAAGAAGAAAAAGCAAGGCACACGCTGTATAAACAATGCTCCTGCTTTGTAGAATATGCAAGCTATGTAATTCCATTCACTTAATCAAGAAATGTAAATAATATTTATTATTCATATTTATAAATAAATGATATATATTACCAGGAAACAAATCCCACTAAAATTGAACATACTGTTTTTCCTAAAGATTTCTATGCTTATTGAAAGGGATTACTATCTCTCCACCCCAACCCCGGGGGTTAATGGTTGTGATTCCTTTTTGTTCACTTGCCTACACAGGCACAGCCTTCAAATCAATTATCAGTCATAGGCTCCTTCCAGACAGTTGTATAAAATCCCACAGTAACTGTTTTCAACTGGGTTATATGGCAGTGTGGATAACCCAGTTCAAACAGATATAGATTATCTGCCTTGATATTCTGGGTTACATGGCTATGTGAAAGGGCCCATAGTATTCTCCATTCTATAAATTTGCAACATGCTACCTGATTTCAAAAGAAGTACTTAAAATTCTCCTGTATTTGCCTGACAATGATATGAATGAAATTTAGTACATATATGAACTTACGTTTCTTGTCAGCCTTGGTATTCACACAAAAAACAAACTACACTGTATCTCGTGTTAGAAGTTGCTTTCTGAGCAGGACTCTCATCTGCTTTCATGTTTTCCAGGAGCCTGTAAAGAAATGTCAAATTCTAGGTATTTGTCACTCTCAAGAAGCGCATTATATATTTCAAAAGCTGAAGGTCACAATATTATACGCATCTCTATGGAAAGCAAGTTCCAATGAATCCAGCAGAAATAGTCATCAAACTGGGAGATAAAAATGGCAAGTACCCTGAACTAGATGGTCCTATTTAGTTAAAAAACAGGACTGCCACTATCAATGTTGCTGATAGAGCAGAAGATACCCTACTAGATAAAATTTCTCTTGCACACAGTTTTGTGCAAAGATTGGGGACACGTGAATGATGTGCGTTGAAAACATGGACACCCCTCGTAAAATGGTAGTTTTTGTTTTATTTATGTCAAACTATAATCCACCAAATTTGTACTCGTGTGGCTGAGAAATTATTTGTTAATTGGCTATAAAAGGACTCCAGTTGACTTACAATTATACGTGCTGGATTAAAATTTTCTGCCAACCCCTCTTAGTTTTACTATCTGAATCATTACTTTCACCTACAGTGCAAAGGCCTCTGAGCACTTTCAAAATAATTACGCCTTCAGGAAAACACCCACTGAAAGCTTCATTTTAAAAAGCTATAAATTCAGGCTCTAACTGTGACAGCAGATAAGCAGTCCCTCTCCAGTCATATTTAAAGAGGAGGGTGAGGATTAAAATTTAAGAGCAAAAGATTCCTTGACTGGTTCCTCAATTCTTCCTCCTCTCGTTGCACTATACTTTGATACTACAGAGAACATAAAGAGATAAGCCTCTGACATACATGTCCCTTCTGTTCATTAAAAAATAATAATACATATATGACTGACACAGAAGGACCAGGATACAAACAGATCTGCAGCTACCCTCTAAAGCTGGGCTTCTTAAACGGTAGGTTTCAACCACAAATGAGGTCCCCTCTTAGATCAATATTGGGTCCCGGCAAACTTTAGCCCCCCAGGCGTTTTGGACTTTAACTCCCAGAAATCCCAGCAAGTTTACTGGCTGTTAGGAACTGTGGGAGTTGAAGTTCTAAACACCCAGAAGGCCAAAGTTTGCCCATGTCTGACTTAGTGGCTATTTTAGACATTTTTACATGAATCTGTTGTTCAGTGTTTACGGTAGAATCTGCAGATTTTTCAGCTATCACTTCATAGAAAGAAACATCAGCCTGTTTATCAAGCCTCAGAAAAGCTGATTTGTTATCAGTAAATGTTTAAATTCTTATACCTGTTTTATATGCCTACATACCCGGGGTCATGTAAAAATGCTGCAGGACAAAAGGGGTCCCAAGTGTTAAAGTTTAAGAAATCTTGCTCTAGAGCAAATTACAAAGAGAACCTGTGTGTGTGTGTCAATGCCTTCAACTTGTCTGTCAATTAACAGCAACCCAATTTAATAGGGTTGTCTCAGGCCCCGTCTACACTGCCATATAATCCAGATTATCAAAGCAGATAATTCACATTCAAGTCATTTCTGAGTTGCGGATAATTTCTCACAGAGTTTTCTTTGGCCAGATTTATTCAAAAGGGGGTTTATTCTGGCCTTCCTCTGAAAGTGTGATTTTTAAGCAATAATTTTAAACTCATGTCCTGTGCTTTAATCTCTGTCCTGTGTATTTAATATGTATTTTATAGAAATGCATTTTAATATGTATCTCTATAGAACTACATTTTAATATGTGTATCTGTGGTATTTCTGCAATGTTTCTGTGTTTTGACTGTGTTGTGACCTGTCTTGAGCCACGAGGAGAGTCAGGTAAGAAATAAAATAATAATAACTATTATTATTATTATTTGCTCATGGTCACCCAGTGGGTTTCCATGGCCATGTAGAGATTTGAACTCTAATCTGTAGTCATAATCCCAAACATTTTACCTTAAAGACAAAATAAATTATCTGTGTTTTGTTTTGCACTGCTGTTGTCTTGTAAACTGCCCTGAGTCCCCTCGGGGAGATGGGGTGGAGTATAAATAAAGATATTATTGTTTTTGTTGTACAATTCCTATTCTACACTTACATCTATTTTGTATTTTTTTACTTGGGGACTTTATGGTTACATCCCAAGATGGCTCTTCTACTGAGCAGCCCAGGAGTCTTGCCTTGCCACCTCATGTCCCATCTACACTACCATATAAAATCCAGATTATCTGCTTTGAACTGCCATATAATCCAGTTCAAGGCAGATAATCTGGATTTTATAAGGCAGTGTAAAGGGGGCCTCAAGGCCCTTCCACAAAGCCCTATATCCCAGAATATCGAGGCAGAAAATACCACAATATCTGATTTGAACTGGGTTATCTGAGTCCACAGCTAGTCTATATAAATAAAAATGTAATGTTTGTTTGTGGGATTAACATAACTCAAAAACCACTGGATGAATTGACACCAAATTCAGACACAATACACCTATCAGGCCAACGAGTGACCATCACTCATAAAAACACTGAAAAACACAGTGGGCTGGAATTAAAAAGCCAAAAAAACCCCCCATTACAATGCATGCAAAAAACTACATATATACACATACATACACACACAAAACACATATACACAGAGTGGGCCACAGCAATGCGTGGCAGGGAACAGCTAGTATCTATATAAATAATAATGTAATGTTAGTTTGTAGTATTAACATAACTCAAAAACCACTGGATCAATTGACACCAAATTTGGACACAATACACCTATTAGGCCAATGAGTGACCATCACTCATAAAAATACTGAAAAACACAGCGGAAGGGACTGAAAAAGCAAAAAAGGGGGGGGGGGAGAAACAGTGCATGCGCAAAAACAACTCCCCCTGGTAAAACAAAACACACAATAGCATATCCACATTCTCTTCTGGACTACAGCTCCCAGCATCCCCTAGACCAAGTCCTTTAGGAGAGGAGGAGGATCCAAATGCACTGCATCCAAACTGCACGCTTTCTTCTCCTTGGATTCCTTTGAGAGCATCCCAATCCCTGCATATTTCCAATTTCCTATTCCTGGACTGCAACTCCCAGCAATCCTTCAGATAGATTAGATGGAGATAGATAGGTAGGTAGATAGATGGATCAGGAGGACTGCTGGGAGTTGCAGTCCAAGAATAGATAGAGAAGGAAGAAAGGGGAGAAAGAGTAAGGGAAAGAAGAAGTGAAGGAAGGGAGGAGAGAAAGAAAGGAGAGGAATAAAATAAGGAGGGAAGGAAGGAGAGGAAGAAAGAAGAGGAAGGGAAGGTTGGCCACAGCATTGTATGGTGGTTACAGCTAGTATAATATATATTATATTGCAACATTACTATTATAATATACTAGCTGTTCCCTGCCACGCGTTGCTGTGGCCCAGTCTGATGATCTGGAAAATAAAGTAATGAGAAAGTGTTGGTTTCTAATATATGCAATATCTTTATACTTGTGGGTAAACAGCACTTCTTGCTGTTTCTCTGTCAGTGTTGATGTAGAGATTGTCTGGTTTGCCCACTCTGGAACATGCAATATAGAATTGTCCTTCTTTAGGGGCCCCTTTCAAATCTATGATACTATCTCTGTGTGTGTGAATCATATCTATCTATCAAAACTATCTATGGCTGGATGGCTCTTTGTCAGGAGGGCTTTGATTACATTTTCTTGCCCTGATGAAGAGAGTTGGACTGGATGGCCTTAAGTATTTTCTGTTGGTCATGGGGATTCTGTGGGGGAAGTTTGGCCCAATTCTGTTTTTTGTAGGGTTCAGAATACTCTTTGATGTTAGGTGAACTATAAATCCCAGTAACTACAACTCCCAAATGTGAATGTCTATTTCCCCCAAAATCCATCTGTGTTCATATTTGGGCATATGGAATATCCGTGCCAAGTGTGGTCCAGATCCATCATTTTATTTATTTATTTGCTGTATTTGTATACCGCCTTTCTCAGCCTATTGGTGACTCAAGGCGGTTTCCAACAAAACAATATACTCAGTATCATAGAACAATTTAAAAACATTACAATTACATAAACCACAACAGCAGTAAAAACAACATTATTAGCATCTCCTTATTGTCAAGCATTGTCCAGTTCCATTGTCAATCGTCCATTCCTATATAATTTATCCATATCCGTTATTCTGTGTTTGAGAACGCTTGCTCAAACAGCCATGTTTTGACTTGCTTACGAAACGTGAGGAGGGAGGGAGCAGATCTAATCTCTCTGGAGAGGGCATTCCATAGCCAGGGGGCCACCGCTGAGAAGGCCCTGTCTCTCGTCCCCGTCAAGCGTACCTGAGACGAAGGCGGGACTGAGAACAGTGCCTCCCCAGACGATCTCAAGGTCCTTGATGGTTCATAAGGGGAGATACGTTTGGACAGGTAAGTTGGGCCAGAACCGTTTAGGGCTTTATAGGCCATGGCCAGCACTTTGTTTGAGTCCACAGTGCTCTGCAGCACTTTGTTTGAGTTTAGGAGTTGTAGGTGAACCACAACTCCTAAACTCAAGGTCAATGCCCACCAAACCCTTCCAGTATTTTCTGTTGGTCATGGGAGTCCTGTGTGCCATGTTTGGTTCAATTCCATCGTTGATGGGAGTTCAGAATGCTCTTTGATTATAGGTGAACTATAAATCCCAGCAACTACAACTCCCAAATGACAAAAT